CTGTTGAGATGGGCCCATACAAGTCTATGCAGCGGGAAAGGCACTCAAAGTCCATGGATTCCTTATGCCTGTGCCTAGGCAAAGGAGCTGTGCCTACCCTGGGTTCCTGGCTTAGGGGAGCCAGCAGTTTATTGTTTCCCGTTTGTTAATTTGTTCATTCTCCATGGCAGGGAGAATGGCTCCGGGCTTGTGACAGATCCTACTTCCGGCCCAGAGTTCTCAGCAATTGCTGAAGCTGGTCCGGGACCCAGTGCAGAGCAGGGAGCAGGGATGTAAATGGGAGAGAGGTTTTTCCCTAAGAGGGGTGTTTCTGATCCACATGGTAGGCCATACGCAATTACTTATCTTTCGCCAGTGAGGGCTGCTTCTCACTGGTTCTGGATAGTCATGTAGAGTTTCTGGCGCTGGGTCCCTCCCATTGTGGAAAACGCGCCTCCCAAGCACTGTTGCTTGCCTGCCTCACCACTCACCCCCAAGCTGATCAAGCCTAAAGGGCTCAGGCTCTCATCAGGTCAGGTCTGGCAACTCCTCACTGCTTCTGAACTGTCTCTCCCTCCCTCTGCCACTCAGTCTGGTTCCTCAACTCTGCCTTTGATGTTCAGAGCTTCCAGATTGTCATATACAATCGAATCACTTTTTGGGGGGAGTTCATTGTTGTAAGTGGGTCCACCGGAAGTGTCTGACTAGTCAGCCATCTTGGCCCCGCCTCCAGATTTAAATTTCTTTTGGACTTTATTTTTTGAATTTTAATTTCTCCACAAATAAATTGATAATGGGCAAGAGCTAACTTTCTAACTTGGGGCGTCTCTATGTTATTGAAATTTATTGCTTGAAATAAATGAATCCTGTAATTTAACCTCATTGCAGAATCTCTGAAGAACTTGTCAGAGAAAATATGGCTGTTTTGGACTGTGTTTCTGGGCATAATTTGGGATGGAAAATAGTATAGAAAGTGAATGTTCAGTGTTTCACAGCATGGCCCTGTAGTCAGTTTAATTAATGTACTGTTCTAACTCATTTCACAAACTGGAGATAAATTTTACACTACCCATCATTATCCTAAAGGATTCACAAAGGAGCAAACGTTGGTTATTGGAATAGCAGCCTCATAATGGTTCTAAGAGACTGCTGATCTCCTCCCTCAAGAGGGAGAGTGACTTCTCTCAATAAAAAGTTGAGGAATATTAGGGAAAATTGAGTGATATTAAATAATTCCCTCAAAATCCCACACTATATATATCTGTTCTGCCACAGTTGAGTGCGTCTTCAATACCAAGTGTCTCATATGTGATTCGTAAATGGGGGAACGATATCAGTACGATGTGGAAGTTTGGTTGATGAATATGTGCTTTTTCCTACGCAAAGGAAACCAGAAGAATAGGAGTAGAATTCTATGCTTTAGCAGGAAATTAAAAAAAAAAAAAAAAAAAAGCTCTTAGCTTAGTTGCTATACTAGGCTACACATACCAGAAAGGTACACCACCAGCCTTGCATGACTCTACAGTTGTAAAACTTTCACCTCCTCCTGTGTCTTCCTTAAGGGAAGCTCCACTGGCTCAAACCTCCACTTCTATCTGCATTGGCTCACACACTATTGTTTTTGTGCAGCTTTAATATCTCCTGAGGCAGCACTCTGAGATGCTTTCCCAGGCTGTTCACATTATATCCTAAATTGATAATTAGTATTTCAGTTAGTGTCTGGTTATAAAGTTGCATAGGTTTTGAATCATCTGCCTCAACCCTATTTTCCCTGTAAGCTCTTATTTTGAGGGGTATAATTCTGCAGGATGCATTTTTCACACATAGATTATGTTCTGGCAGAAATGCCCATGCTAACCTATACTAACCTGTTGACCTCATAGAGGAATATGGAATTTGTACACAGTTGGTAGTTCTATTCTACTCTAGAAAGGATAGATATTTATAGGAGCCATTATTACAGAACTTTTACATATGTAACAATATAAACATCTTTGTTAAAATCTTCTGTGGTTTAGGAATCTAAACACAGCAATTTGCAAATCTTTTTTTTTTTTTTTAAGGTTTTACTAGACTTGACGAAGTAAAAGTACTTCAGTGTCATTTCAAATGTGCTCATTCCTCATAACATAGGAGGAAAACTGGAAAAGATGTCTAATTCCAAAAGACAAGCAGCTGATAAGAGAAAAATGATTTCATTATTTCATATATCTGTTATTTTTAGTCCTTGGTACTTCTAATCTGCACTTGTAAGTAAAAACTAACTGCTATAATCTTAACATTTTTGTTGCTGTTACTTGCCATTCTGTCAGCTTCAACTCATGGTGACCCCATGTACAACAGAAGGAAACACTGCCCAGTCCTGCACCATCTTCACAATCGTTGATATGCTTGAGTCCGTTGTTGCGGCCACTTTGTATTTTGAACGTCTTCCCATCTAGAAGGCTCATCTTCCAGCACTATATGGAACAATAAACTCTACTGTGATCCATAGGATTTTTATTGGCTAATTTTTGGAAGTAGATCACCAGGCCTTTCTTCCTGACCTGTCTTAGTCTGGAAGTTCCACTGAAACCTGTCCACCATGGGTGACCCTTCTAGTATTAAATACTGGTGGCATAGCTTCCAGCACTATAGCAACACACAAGCCACCACAGTATGACAAACTGACAGATTGGTAGTGGATCTTAATGTTGGAATTATTAAACTACTTTTTCTGATTGATACAAAACAAGCTAAAAAAAAAAAGAGTCAAAACATCAACATATACCACTTGACCTTTCAGAAGACAATCAAACATAAAAGTGTAGGGACCGCAGTTATTTGATGCACAAAATCATACTAACAAAGAAAAGAAGAAATGCAAAAGCCTAATATTAAGTGACTAGGGTGCTACAGACTGGAAGTTCCTCCAACAGGATTATCTTCTTTAAGTATTTTAAATCCAGTGAACTTGCTGTGCTTCCACATGTTAGTAGTTGCATAGGCTAATTTCAGCCGGCATAAGCTTTTATAAGTATGCAAAAATACAAGGCAAGGGCATGCATTAAAATGTGATAATAGCACACTTCTGGGATATGTGAAACATGAGGCATGAATCTGAATGCCTCTGGCATCCATGAAGTATCATGCCTCACAGTCAGTGCTTCTCTGTTCTGATAAGTAGTTCTGTTATACCATACTTGGGAGAGAGAAAAATCAGCTTTCTAAATATAAATCTTTTAATGTTAAGCAGGGTTCCTTTTAGTTTCAATTCTAGCAGTTAAATCAAATCCAATTTTTTAATTCCAGGTGAGCTGGAAATAATTCCAAGCTAGATAGTGCCTCAAGAAAAAGTGTTGATTATTTTTTTTACTAATGAAAGTTTAAGAGTGATTACAAATAATTGTTAGTCATAAAGAAAATGTTAGCCAGCACAATATGTGGGAAAGGAGGGACAAACATGCAAGAAATCAACTTTAATGATGCTATTCTATTCTTCTGCCCCTAAAAAAGATAATAAGAAAGAATTCCCTGTGTTACATATGTATTTCAAGTAAATGACTTCATCTAATGCTTTTAGATAATGAGTAGGAAAAGCTTTGAAATCTTCAGATGAAAACTTCTAATTAAATGAAAAATAATCATACCCAGTACAAGCATTAAAAATTATGAAGAAAAAATAGCTTTACTGTTTAAATATATATACAAAAAATGTATAGCCAAAAAATTGTTTTAAACAATAAGTATCAAAATACCACAGTGCTCCCTCAATAAATATGAATCAAGGATGATAAAGCAAGGAAATCATTTGCTTTTACATAGTACAAGCAAGAAAACTGGAAACAAATGGAAGCCGCAACTTATAATCACTTATAGTTGCCTGGACCTCACCTGCCACTTAAAGGTGTGCTCTTTAATATCTCTGCCCTCCTTAGGCATGCAGTCAAGGTCTAGATGGAGTAACAGGATCATCTCAGTAGCACATCGAAACTCACAAATATAGAATTCATAGGATTTTTCCTACTAGAGACTAGAAATTTGTGTCTTTTAGAGATACCAATGGAGATCTATTTTCTGACAAATCATTGTTATGGATTGACTTGTGTCCCCCAAAAGCATGTGTCATTTGGCTAGGCCATGATTCCCAGTATTGTGTGGTTGTCTTCCATTTTGTGATTTGATGTAATTATCCTATGTGTTGTAGATCCTAACTTCTATGACGTTAATGAGGCAGGATTAGAAGCAGTTACGTTAATGAGGCAGGACACAATCTACAGGATTAGGTTGTATCTTGAGTCAGTCTCTTTCGAGATATAAAAGAGAGAAGCAGAGGAGGGGGACCTCCTACCACCAAGAATGAAGAACCAGGAGTGGAGTGCATCCTTTGGACCTGGAGCCCCTGTGCTGAGAAACTCCTAGACACAGGAGAAGATTGATAACAAGGACCTTTCCCCAGAGCCGAAAGAGAGAGAAAGCATTCCCCTGGAGCTGATGCCCTGAATTTGGACTTCTAGCCTCCTAAACTGTGAGAGAATAAATTTTTGTTTGTTAAAGTAATTCACTTGTGGTTTTTCTGTTATAGGAGCACTAGATAATGAAGACAGTCATATAATAAATCATTTTAAAGCACATTTCATACCTTTAATTGCCCTCTAGAAACTGACCAAAACATTTTAAAAATCTGCATCTTAGCATACAGTAGTGCAATTTCTCGTTTTTCTCTTTAAAAAGATGTATTCCACAGAAATTGGCTGCTAAATTATGAAAATTTAACCATTATTTTTGTGTATTTTTTTATCATTTATTATGTTCAAATATTCATCATTTTTTAAAGAAAATCTAAGCTTTTGCTGAAATAGGATTACTAAAACCTTAGTGCACTTTCATGATTTCTCTCTGCGAAAGAATGCCATATTTATCTATGTCACAGTTAAACTCTATTTTATTACATCTGTTTTCCTTTTAAATGCATAAAGTAAAAACAAAATTATTTGTTTTCAAAATGATATTACATGGTTTACAAAATATTTGCTACTTACCATTTGAAATATCTTCAATTTTTCTGCCATACAAATCATAAAGATATCTGGCCGGTGAATTTAGATTCATTTTCATTGTGCAAGTATCTAAAACCTACATAGAAAAAAAATAAACAACAAAAATGTATTAGAGTCAGTTCTTGTTAAATTGAATATACATTTAAAGACCTTTCTATACTACATGGCTATTAAAAAATAAATTGTAAAATAAAAGTTGATGATTTATAAAACGTTTCTAATAGATGAAGTGAAAAAAGCAGTTAAAATTGTTAGATCTCATTGTATTTAAAAAACACACAGATATAAATCTAAAAAAAGAAAGAAAAGAGTGACAACAAATATTAAACAGTGGCTGCCTACTATTTAATAAAGAGTAGAACTCAGCGAGATTTTTATTTTATTCTTATTGTTTCTTATATTTTCCAAGAGAAAATTACTTTTTAATTCAGATGTTAAAGTACTTTCTTTAGCTCTTCAATTCTTTCCAAGTGTCCTAAAATACATCATAAATATAATCTTATATATATAGAAAATCCCAAAGAGTCCACAAGAAAACTTCTAGAGCTAATAGAGGGATTTAGCAAAGTTGCAAGGTACAAGGTCAACAAACAAAAATCAATTTGATTTCTATACACCAGCAATGAGAAATCCAAAAGAGAAATTAGGAAAATAATTCCATTTACAATAGCATCTAAGAGAATAAAAATGCCTAGGAATAAATCTAACAAGGAATATGAAGAACTTATACAATGAAAAATATAAAACATGGTTGTAAGAGATTAAAAAAGACTTAAATGGAAAGAACTTCCATGTTCATGGATTGGAAGACTTAATATTGATGCCAATACTACCCACAGTGATCTATAGATTCAACGTAATCCCAACCAAAATTCCAATAACCTTTATAGGAATGGAAAAACCAATCTTCAACTTCATATGAAAATGGCAAGAGGCCCCAAATAGCTAAAGCAATGTTGAAAGAGAAGAAGAAAGCAGGATAACTCACACTTCCTAATTTTAAAACATGTTATAAAGCTACAGTAATAAAAACAGCCTGGTACTGGTACAATAGGCACATAGACCAAGGGAATAGAATTAAGAGTCCCAGAAATAAACTCACACATCTATGGTCAACTGATTTTTGACAAGAGAGCTAAGTCAATTTGATGGGGAAAGGAGAGTCTCTTTGATAAATGGTGTTGGGAAAATTGGGTTTCCACATGCTTCACACCGTAAACAAAAACAAATTAAAAATGAATTAACAACCTATATGTTCAATCAGGAAACCTGGTTAAGAGTTCAACTGCTAGCAAAAAGGTTGGCAGTTTGAATCCGCCAGGAGCTCCTTGGAAACCCTATGGGGCAGTTCTACTCTGTCCTATAGGGTCGCTAGGAGTCAGAATCGACTTGATGGCAACAGGTTTGGGTTTTTTTTTTTTTTATGTTCAATCAAAATCCATAAAATTCTTAGAAGAAATTGCAGGAGCAATGCTTTTAGGCCTAAGTTTTAACAGTGGATTACCTAATATAATAACAAAAGCACAAATAGCAAAAGACAAAATAAATAAGTGGGACTTCATAAGAACTAAAAACTTTTCTCATCAAAAGATTTTAACAAAAAAGTGAAAAGACAAGAAACCAACTAGGAGAACATCTTTGAAAACCATATGCCCAATGAGAATCTAATACCAAAATATATATAAAATTTTGACATCTTAACAACAAAAAGACAAATAACCCAATCTTAAAATGGGCAAAGGATTTGAATAGATATTTCACCAAAGAAGACATTCAAATGGCCATCAAACACATGAAAAGATGCTCAACGTCATTAGCCATTACCAAAATTTGTTGCCTCCAAGTCAATTTTGACTCATAGCAATCCTATAGGACAGAGTAGAACTGCCCCATAAAGTATCCAAGGAGCAGCTGGTGGATTCAAACTGCCAACCTTCTAGTTAGCAGCCACAGCTCTTAACCATTACACCACCATAGCTCCAAAACCCAAATCTGTTGCCAATGAGTCGATTCTGACTCATAGTGAACCTATAGGACAGAGTAGAACTGCTCCATAGTGTTTCCAAGGAGCAGTTGGTGGATTTGAACTGCCAAACTTTTGGTTAGCAGCCTAGGTCTCAACCACTTCACCACCAGGGCTCCTAGTGGAAGTGAAATGGTATCTCATTGTGATTTAGAGCTCGTAATAAATTATGGATAACACTGCAAAGAATGGGAATTCCAGAACACTCAATTGTGCTCATGAGGAAACTGTACATAGACCAAGAGGCAGTCATTTGAACGGAACAAGGAGATACAGCATGGTACAAAATGAAAGGTGTACGTCAGGGTTGTATCCTTTCACCATACTTATTCAATCTTTATGCTGAGCAAATAATCTGAGAAGATGGACTAGATGAAGAAGAATGCAGCATCAGGACTGGAGGAAGACTCATTAACAACCTGTGATATGCAGATGACAAAATCTTGCTTGCTGAAAGTGAAGAGGACTTGAAGCACTTACGGATGAAGATCAGACTACAGCCTTCAGTATACATTATATCTCAACATAAAGGAAAACAAAAATCCTCACAACTAGACCAATAAGCAACATCATGACAAACAAAGAAAATAACGAAGTTGTCAAAGATTTCATTTTACTTGGATCCACAATCAACGCTCATGGAAGTAGCAGTCAAGAAATCAAATGACTTACTGCATTGGGCAAATCTGTTACAAAAGACCTCTTTAAATTGTTAAAAAGCAAAGACATCACTTTGAGGACTAAGGTACACCTGACCCAAGCCATGGTATTTTCAGTCACCTCATGTGCATGGGAAAGCTGGACCGAAGAATTGATGCCTTTGAATTACGGTGTTAGTGAAGAATATTGAATACACCATGAACTGCCAGAAGAAGGAACAAATCTATTCTGGAAGAAGTACAGCCAGAATGCTACTTAGACACAAGGCTGGCAAGACTTCATCTCACATACTTTGGACATGTTATCAGGAGTCCCTAGAGAAGGATATCATGCTTGATAAAGTAGAGGGTCAGCCAAAAAGAGAAAGACCCTCAATGAGATAGATTGACACAGTGGCTACAACCATGGACTCAAACATAGAAAAGATTATGAGGATAGTACAGGACCAGGCACTGTTTCCTTCTGTTGTACGTAGGGTCATTATGAGTTGGAATCGACTCAACGGCACCTAACAATGACAACAGTTACTAGTGAAAGTTCAGATATTTAAATATCCTTCAAAGTTATAATTTATCAATTAAATTGAATAAAATGTGAAGTGCGTAAAGACAGTCCCAATTATGTCGACCAAAACTGTAATGATTTTTAAAATTATTTCAAATATTTCTGCCTTTGAGTCTTAAAAATATCAGTCAAGTAAAATTATACCACTTTTTAACTCAGCTACTCTTCCCTTCAGTGTGCTCAAACATTGGTAAAAATAAATGATTATGCAAGTCAAGTTTTAAGAGTTAAATGAGTTGAAAAACCGACATAAGAAAATCAGGTACTAGAAATTAATAATGCATCAGCAACACTGTCATTCTCTTCTATTTTCATAATGAAAGATCTTTGCAGTGTTTAAGCAATGCCAACCTTCAATAATCACTTTCTCAGAGTTAAAGTATGAATTAGTATCTATATAAGTTTTTGTCAAAAGCCCTGAAATGAAACCTCTACTTGTAAGGTCATTCTTATAATTCACAATTGAAAAATATTTAATGTTGCCATCTTGCGTAGTATTAAGGTTAATTAAAATACAATTTCCACTGTTCTGTACCTGTTAAACTTGTTAAAATATTACTTTTACAAATTCACACGTTCTTAATTTCTTACAGCTTAGGTAACTCTTCTGATACTGAAATTCAAAACCATCATGCCCTAAAATCAGAATCTTCTTGACAAGCATGTGGGAAGAAATTTTTCCACAAGTTCTTTTCAGTTTAATCTGTTTACAGTTCTTGGGGTCACCTCCACCCCCACAGCACATCTGGTGTGGAGTTTACAGCTCCTGGAATGGCCACTGACTGAGGAAGTATGGGTATACAGGCTACAACGTCTGCGTTTGGTTTGCCACTATCTCAGTCAAGGGGAGAGAGTAAGCTTAGACCAGCGTTGCCTCAGCCAACTGAGCCAAGTCAACAAGCCATCAGACCCAACAGTGTCCATCCTTCTCAAAGACAGAAAATCTTGATACCTTTTCACATGTTCTTACGAGTCATCTTCCAGAAGTATAAGCCCCAGTTTACACTCCCCAACACACCCTTCTCAAAGATTCTCTACTGTAGGAGTCAGCAAACTACACCCATAAGTCAATTCCATTCACAACCTGTTTTTGTATGGCTGGCTTGCTAAGAATGGTTTGTACATATTTAATTGCTAAGAAAATAATAATAATAATCAAAAGAATAGTAACATTTTCTAACACATTAAAATTATAGGAAATTCAAATTTCGGTGCCCATAAATAAAGCTTTCCTGGAAAAGAGCCACACTTGTTCATTTACATATTTTCTATGGCTACTGTCATGCTACAACAGCAGAACTGAGTAGTGGCTAGAGACTTACGGCTCATAAAACTGAAAATATCTACTATCTGACCCTTTACAAAAGTTCTATATTCATATCATTCACATAAAATTCTGTATTTTCTTGTCCCGTATACCTTAGCCTAAACTTCTTCTTGCATTTCTAAAATCCTTCACTTGTTTGCTCTGGAGATGTTTCACCTGATCAACAAACTTGAGTAGACTCTCAATCTTTTTTAAAAGAAACTAGGCTCTTCACTGAGTTCATTCATTTCCCTAGGCCTTTCTCAAGTGGTGAGTTTTTCTTCTCTCATATCACACAATTTCAAGTTTGGGAGGTGGTGTTGCTTAAAATTGCTATTTCAAGACCATTATCCACCCACCTCCAACCCTATTATTGAAAATAAATAAATAAATAAGCCCTGCTTGCTTGAAGATCCTGATATTTGAGAACACCATCTTCCTTCACTCTAGTCATTCTTCTCATTCATGAATAACTTTTTTTTTCAATTCAAAAAACTGTTTTTATTGAGGCTGTACCCTTCCA